TACCTATCCCCTGTCTATAGGGGATTCCTATGGATACAGAGAGGCGATAGACCCCCATAGCTATCTGTAATCTATAGTCTACCTATAGCTACCTATCCCCTGTCTATAGGGGATTCCTATGGATACAGAGAGGCGATAGACCCCCATAGCTATCTGTAATCTATAGTCTACCTATAGCTACCTATCCCCTGTCTATAGGGGATTCCTATGGATACAGAGAGGCGATAGACCCCCATAGCTATCTGTAATCTATAGTCTACCTATAGCTACCTATCCCCTGTCTATAGGGGATTCCTATGGATACAGAGAGGCGATAGACCCCCATAGCTATCTGTAATCTATAGTCTACCTATAGCTACCTATCCCCTGTCTATAGGGGATTCCTATGGATACAGAGAGGCGATAGACCCCCATAGCTATCTGTAATCTATAGTCTACCTATAGCTACCTATCCCCTGTCTATAGGGGATTCCTATGGATACAGAGAGGCGATAGACCCCCATAGCTATCTGTAATCTATAGTCTACCTATAGCTACCTATCCCCTGTCTATAGGGGATTCCTATGGATACAGAGAGGCGATAGACCCCCATAGCTATCTGTAATCTATAGTCTACCTATAGCTACCTATCCCCTGTCTATAGGGGATTCCTATGGATACAGAGAGGCGATAGACCCCCATAGCTATCTGTAATCTATAGTCTACCTATAGCTACCTATCCCCTGTCTATAGGGGATTCCTATGGATACAGAGAGGCGATAGACCCCCATAGCTATCTGTAATCTATAGTCTACCTATAGCTACCTATCCCCTGTCTATAGGGGATTCCTATGGATATAGAGAGGCAATAGACACCTATATCTGTCATCTATATCCTACCTATACCCTGTCTATAGGGGATTGCTATGGATACAGAGAGGCGATAGACACCCATAGCTATCTGTAATCTATAGTCTACCTATAGCTACCTATCCCCTGTCTATAGGGGATTGCTGTGGATAGCTACGGAGAGGTGATGGATACAGATGGGTGACAGACACCTATAGACGAGCAATAGATAGACATAGGTGTCTGGCACCCATCTGTATCCATCATCTAGATCTATAGACAGGGGATAGGTAGATATATCATATACCTATCTATAGATCCGTCTATAGAGGGTAGCTATAGACAGATGATGGCTACAGATGGGTGATCAACACCTATATCTATTGCTCGTCTACATCATAGCTATAGCTACCTATCCCCTATGTACAGAGGTGTCTATAGAGGACAGATGATGGGTACAGATGGGTGACAGACACCTATATCTATCTATCTATCTATTGCTTGTCTATATCATAGCTATAGCTATCCATCCCCTATGCTGTCCACAGAGGATTGATCTATATGTGATAGCTATCGACTGCCGATATCGGATCGCTTATAGACATGATTGACATGGCTATCTATCCCCCCCTCTATATAGCAATCGCCTCTCTGTAGGGTGTCTATCTACTCTGCACCTATAGATCACCTATACAGCACCTGCATCTACTTGGACCCATCTGTGTTGATCACCCCCATCTCTGCCTCCTTGCAGGACTGCTCACAACCCCCCCCTCATTGTGTGTCTCGCTCCCGGTGCAGTTTGACCCACGCCCGCTGTCTGTACAGTGCCTGTGCGCTCCTCGGCGGGCTTCCTCCGACAGTGCCTCCCGCACAGCAGCAGGGCACGGTGCCAGCTTGTGCCCAACCCGCTGCACACAGACGCAGGTTTTTCCTGGGGATGTGGGGGGAGGATTTTTTTAATTAATTAAAAAAAAACAAAGCAACCAAACAACAAGAAAAAACCCCAACAGCACAACAGAACCAAAAAAAATAAAATTAAATTAAAAAAAAAAAAAAAGCAAAGCTGCAAATGCAACGAAATAGTAGTCCAGGTCAGAGCGAGCCCGCGGTCGCTGGAGGTGAGGAGACAGGGACGAGGAGACGCAGCAGGCGCAGTGGCAGGGCTTGCCCGCAGGTCCGGGAGGAGGAATCGGCTCGGCTCGGCTCGGCTGTGCTGGGGCGGGGAGCAGCACGCAGGCCTGCCCCTCCGGGACTGCACCGGGTGTCTGTCCTCTGCCCAGCTCGGCTGCTGCTGCTGCTGCCAGGAGTTGCTAAAGCCTGAACCCCTGCCAGCTGCCTCTGCAGCTGCAGCCCGCGAGCTCCGCGCCTGCAGCCCGGGAAGGGGAGGGAGGGAGCCGGGCACTGCGGAGGCTTTGCCGCAGAGAGCAGCAGGCGTTGCCACGCATGCTCCCCGCACCTTCGTTTCAGCAGCTCCGAGCCTCCCTCCCCTTCTCCTCTCTGCTGGGGCGCTTTCCCTATCACCTGGGGGTGCTGCTTGCCCTTCGCAAGCTTCTCCTCAACTCCAAGCAGGATGGGCATGGAGGAGGCTGGATTTGCAGCCATGCACTTGACTTGGCTGCTCCTGAGGGCGTAGAGGGAGAGGGGCAGGCTTTCCCTTTTCCCTTAGGATGCTTTTTTTTTTTTTTTTAAATAGCTTTAGTTTATTTGCTTAACACATTTTTTAAATAGCAAATAGTTGATTTGCTGCTTTTTTTTTTTTTTTCCTTTCTTAAAGACTGTCTCGCCCTTGTAGTATGTGGTTTGCAACTTCCTTAAGCTGGGTGCTGGGGTTGAATCACAGGTAATGTGGCCCAGCTTGCTTTGAGCTGTGACAACAGCTTGGTTTTATTGTAAGCGGAGGGCGACGCTCTCCAGTCCCATGGCACCTTCCTGGAAGGTGTGCGAAGCACTCGGCAAGCACACCCAAATTCAGGGCCCTTGCACGGGAAGTGAGTAAGCATTGCTCTGCTCCGGTGGAGCGGGGAAATGAGGCCCTAAATCCAACCCCTGTCTGAGCGGTGGATGTGGCACTCCGGAGGTGAAGAAGGGGAGACTTTCATGTTGCCTGTTGGGATATGGATAGTAAATCTGCTTCCCGCTGTCAAGGGGCGTGCAGGGCTCTTCTGTGTCTCTGTATCCTGGGAACTGGGGAGTTATGTCTGTGTGCTCCATGCCATGACCCTACCTTCTTGTTCTTTGATAAAGCAGAGATGTGTAATTGGCTGCCTGGAGATAAGCATCCATTTGCATTCCAAAAACATCCCCTGACTGCACTACGCTGGTTTGTTTGCGGTTGCCGTGATTTTTCTTTTTCTTTTTTTTGCACTGAAGCCTGTTGTCAATGCTCATGTTTTCCTGTGCAACCGCAGGATGACCTTCCCTGTGGCAGGGCTCGCCCAGTGCAAGCCGTCTGTTTTGGGGATGCAACTCCAGGATTTCTTTCCCTACCCTGATGTAGGGAGGCATCACAAGAGTGGGTTAAAGAAGCGCCACCGCTCTTTCCGTGGGGTTGTCCGAGTATGGGCCACCCCTCAGCTGGGTGGCAATTGTGCCTGCTGGAAATACAAAGTGATCTCCAGTATATTTAGGCGATCGCCATCTGAATAAGTCTCCTCTTGTCAATGCGTCTGTAACAAATGATTGCCTAATTGTATAGGTGTACATTTTGCAGGGGCTGGAAGAACCCATCATATTTAGGTGACTGCTATAATCCAGACTACAAAATGCTTTTTTTCCCCCCTCCCACCCTTCTTCCTGCCAGTTATCAGAAAGTACAGGCACGCTAAAATTGTCTGGGGTCTGTGCAAGAAGCACTGGCTTAGTCAAGCTCATGAATCTTAAAGAGGAATGAGGATGAGCTATCCTGGGATGAATCATTTTTGCCCATAGCATATTTTTAAAGAGTATTGCAGCGTGAGAGTTTGTGATACAGCACAGGTCTGGATGTAGATGCTTAGCTTTATGGCGCACCTAAGATTGGCTGCTGGCTGTATTTTGCGATCACCTGTGAAATAAAGGCTCTGATCTGCTTGTCCTTTCACCAGTGCAGTCCCATTAAAACCAGCAGGGCTCCACTAACGCATTTTCAAGGCTGAAGCTGAGCAGTACATCAGTGAGCAATTAATTTGTACAAATCTTTTCCGGGCTTGCTATGATTGTGAAATGCAGGTTTCTTTTAACATGTGTTATTATCAGGTGTGGAAAGTAACAGGCAATAGCAATAGGATGCAGGTTCACTCTCTCCACTAACTGAATTTCAATATTGAACTAAGAAGTTAATTTTCTTTTTTAACAGTTGAAGCCTACAGCATTCCTGACTTCAAAGGGGAAGCTTGTATACAAACGAACTTCTTAAAAACATGCAAGAAGAGATAGACCTCCCATATGGCTTTTATTTCCCCCCCTTTGTTTTCCGACTTGATTTTTGTATCCCTTCTCACCCAGTAGTGTTGTGCATGAAGGAACAGCAGAATAACTCATGCAATTTAAAGAAAAAAATTCTCCCCTTAAAAAAGATTATCCAGTGTTTTGTTCTCTTATTTTTTGCCTGTGCAGCAGTTAATTTGCAAACGCAGTTATCAGCACAGTGCTGAGTGTGCCACATTAAAGAAAGTTGGAGCCTTTGGGGAGTGCAGATGTAGGGGCCTCAACAGACTGATGCAGACCCAAAGGTAACAGCAGATCTGAGCACCAGCTGAATGTGCAGCAGGTGAATTCAACAGGAGGAGAGCGCCCCTACTTTAGTACCCTGTTGAATAGGGATCATGATATCGGAAGGGATGCTGCTGTATGAAATCGTGTTGACAGGTACCAGAGCCCCCATCAACTCTTCTGTTTAATTTGATCCTGGGTGATTACTGCTTTGCTTTATGGTTCATCAGAGCTGTGGCCAAATCCAAATATTTTCTCAAATGGGATTGGGAAAGAAATGTCATTATTCTCTTGTTTTAAAAACACTCCATAAGGAATAATAAAAAGCATCTGATTCTGGTCTTGCTTCTTTTGTACCGGTATCAGGCAGAACCTAATTTAATTCTGTACTATTCCCCTTGGTCCTACAGCAGCCTAAGCAATGCCAGCATATGATGAAATAATAAAGATATTTGCTTTTTTTTTTTTTTTTTTGCACAGGAATGCTTAATATCCAAGCAGCTTGGGCTCTGTTGTGCTAGATGCTGCATTAAGAAAATAAGACTCTGTACCCAGAGATTTTTGCAAGCAGTGTATGGGCCTTTGACATGAAAATATAGGTAAAGACTTTTGAACTAGTATATTTAAAAAAACAAACCCTATTAAGAAGTATGTTTGGGTTGGGAAACAATGTAATCAAATTGCTGAAATGATTTGTTAGACAGTGATGATAACTTGCCATTTTCTCCAGCCACGTGTTATATGATGAAAATATGAGAAATCTGTTCCAAATTGAATAGAAGATAGGTTTTTTGGAGTGCAACGAGGGGGTCAAGTGAATACACTGCTTAAAATGGTTCTAGCTGTCTTAAGTTCTGGTTTACACAAGTTATACCTGTATAAGTTATATGGCAGTTGGAGAGAGGGATTTTTTTTTTGGAGATTGGAGCTATGTGGATATACACCCTAGGGGGTGTATCCCGGGAGTACCTGTATACACCAAGGTAAGCACAACCCTGCAGCTGTGTCTAGGTGGGGGCTGTGTCTAGGCAATGCACTTCTGCCAGCATGAGTGTGATCTCTGGGCATGAGAGAAATGCCCAGCAGATATCCTGGAGCCCTGGCAAAACTCCAACCAGCTTCACAGGGCCAGAACTTCACCCACCTAGGGAGGGCAAACATCTCAGGATGCCACGTGATGTTTTTTCACTTTATCCTACTTGGCCTTCAGCAGTGTTTTAGATGCTGCAACCAACAGAGCCGTGCAGCTTTGAACGGGCCCAAGGGTTGGCATTACATGTTCCTTCTGTTTTGGGCTGTCAACACTTCTTTGTAACTTGTTAGCCCCTTTGCCCTCCTTCTTAGTGTGGTGTAGAAGATATCTGACAAGATTTTAAAGCTTTTTTCTTTTTTTGTTCCTGGGTGTTTATTTTGATACTGCTTGGCACCAGAGATCAATTTTTTTACTTCCCAGGTATTGCTAGAGCAGTGGTTTTCAAGCTTTCTAAGATCCCGGAGCACTCTCATGTTGCCGCGGTGGGACCCCTACCCCTATCGCGATAAAGTCTGGCGTGAGCCAGGTGACCTGGCCTGGCAGTGACAGCGACCTGCCCCCGTAGCTGCTCTGCTGCTACCCCTGGTCTCTTTGCCCAACCTTTGATGAGCAATTGCAGAACCTCAGGGTTTGTGGAACAAAATCTGAAAATTACCGTGTTAAAGGACAGGCAGACAAGGCTCTTTCGGTAAATGTGATATCTTAACCAACTAAATAGTTGGAAAAATTGTGCTAGAGGGTGTATCTTATGAGCCATTTGAGCTTTTTTTGGGATGATGATTTGTTAACTATTTGGCAAAAGCTTCGTTTCTTCAATGATGAATTGGCTATTGGAATCCCAGATGTGTTTGTTTAGAACTGGTTACGGGTCTTAATGAATAGTCATGATGTAGGTGTGTCCTGAGTAGTGCTCAGCCAATGTAGCTGCAGTAGTGCAAACCTCTAGTGCAAACTGCAGTGTGTACCAGTGGAGATGACCCCTGCGTGAAGCTCTACGGGTACAAAGAGCAGTCTTTTATCTGTCTGTTCTCGGTGTCTGCTCCAGGAACAGGTCATCATCAATGGTTGGAAACCCCCAAACTAAACAAGGTGTAAATCCTGCAATGAGTTGGGTTGGTTGCCATGGAAACCTTAGGGGTAGTGGGGCGAGTGCTGTTCTTCCTTTTGGAAATAGTTAAGCTTCTTTATGAAACAATAGCAGCCTCCACTCCACTCCTATGGAGGAGTCACTGCCCAAAACAAAGGCATCTGGGCAGAGGGGTTTCGCTAACTGTTGCCTGGGACAGTAGAGGGGAAGGAGACGGAGGTGTGCGGCGCTGAGTGCTGCCTGAAAGTCTGGAGACTGTGAACGCACACACTCTCCTCTGTTTTGTCCGCCCTATAGGTAATCAAAATGGAACGTGGTGCTTTTAATTATTTTTCCCCTTGGTAAAAAAGCAGGTGTGTATCAATGAAAGATCTGATTAGACCATGGGTTCTCCCTCCTAACTGCAAGATCCACCTTTTTTGTAATTATTTTACTAAGTGCTTGGGACAAAAGGGTAAGGGTTCCTCTTTTGATTGCTGAACCTTTGCCATCCCTGTTCCTGCGGTGATGTCATTCGAAAGGTTCTTCCGTTCTTGTGAAGTTTTTTGCAGGCTAAATGGGACCTGAATGTTTCATGCCAAAAATCAACTGGGGGAGGGCATTAATTTCCTTCCATCCCCCTCCCCTTTCCTGCAGGAGAAGAGAGGAGATAAGCCTCTGAGCTTTTACTGCTCTAAAAGTGGTAGAAAGGGGTACAAGCCCCAAACTGGGTCTTGTATGACAGCTTGCTTATTTATATAAATAATAGGAAAACTGTAAAATACAATGTACGGGTTCTGCAACTGTTGGGTTTGTACAGGTCCCAAATAATGTTCACCCTAGGGGATCTTGGTTTGACTGATCTTTCTATTTTCAAAGCACCTTTAACATTTGGAAAAGAGGATGCCTTTCACGTTCCTGTGCACTGAAGTTCTCTATCTGCCTAGTCACTGAGATGTGGTCCTGGTCAAGAGGAGCTACCCTTGCGATCGTGAGCAGGTATAGTATTCCAGTCGCTATGCATCTCTGCCGCCTCTCGCGAAGGTCCCATTAGGGGTATCCCTTGAGAATTAAATTTTCCCAACTTATTCCATATCATTCCTGACTATACTTCAATGGTAATGTTTCCTGAAACACTTATTTCTTTGACCATTGTCTGAAGACATTCATTTTAATAAATAACATTCAAGAGCAGTCTTTTGGCACTATCCCAGTTGATGTAGTGTCAAAGGAACACCGTCCTTTCTTGTGAAAAACCAGAAACATTCACTGCCGTTCAGTACTCTGTTCTGAAAACAGATGGGTTTATACGATGCCTGTCCAGAGACTAATTAACAGTAGCACTTTTCTTAATATTGCTGTCTATTGATATACCTGCTGGTAGTTCCCATCTTGGATACTGGTGATAAAAGTAATAATCATGAGTTTGGTTAGGGAAGGAATCTGCATCTAGCACCTCTAAGCTTTGGGTGTGGAGCTAAATCCAGACTTGTAAAGGCTTCTGATAATTTCTGCAGCAATCTTTTTGAGAGTACTTGGTCAGCACAACAGAACTGCCTGTGTGTTAAAAACAAGAACACAACAAACAAATAACAGGAAAAAGCACAGAATCCAGTGACTTCTGCTAAAATACAGTCATGATCACACTATTATACACTGATCATATGGCAGAGACTGTATCTTGCTTCAGAGAGTGGTATAATGCATACCCTCCTGACGCATTTAACTGTGTATGTACTGTGCCCTGAGGGGGTTCAAGGACTGATGAACCTGAAATAATGCTATGAGAAATGTATGATGTTAACAAGTGTAATAATAGTTGCTCCCCTTCTTCAAAGTCTCTCTTTCTGAAATATTAGTTTAGCAAGCAATGTGTATCACTTGTGGCTGTGTGTTTCACAGTTTGGTTGATGTGTAGTATAACAAGGATGAGCTCCATAGCGACATAAAAATGTGGCCTGCTAATGACTTTCTGGGATTATGGGCAAAGGTAAATAAATGCCCGGTTGGTCTCCTGTTAGGGTTGTTACTTAAACCTCTAAGACCATTTTTTTGATTCTCTTGCTTTCCAAGCAGTGTTGCAAACTTTTTCATAGCTTGTGGTATGGAAGCAACTTCTTGTTCTCTTTGCTGTCCTCTTTGCTGCTTCTTTCTTCTTGATGGAAGCTGAGCACACACGTTCAAGTTGCAAATAAAAATACTGGTTTATGCAGTATGTCTTCTTGTTGATATATGGCCTGATCTCTTATTCCCTAGTGACTACTGCTGTGCATTGAACAAATATCTCCTTGAGTTGTCTGGTCTGCAAGGATTTCTAGATCATCATATCTTAAGAGGTTGGGTGTAATTTGAAACCCATCAGTGTGTGGAAGTAGTTCAAATTGTCCCTTCCGGTGTGCATGACATTTCACTTGTATGTGTGCCATTGCAGGAAGTTTGGAACAACAGATACCAGGTCAGTCGTCTTGGCATCAATTACTGTGCTACATGTAAACTGTGAAAGTTGTCATGAGAATATGACAGCCTTCTGGTTTAATTAGTTTGATTCAAGTCTGGTCCTGCTTTTGAAGCCAGTAAAGTTGTGCTGGTGTTGAATGTGATGGGTCTTTGTTTCAGAGAATGACTAAATGGCCCATCACCCATTTCTGACTCTTATCCTCTTCCAGTCTCCTGTATGATCAGGAATGCATTAAATTGCTTAACGGAGATGGAGGATCTAGTTACAGCGCTCTTGCTATAATGTGGTCATACCACTGCACTCCTACTGTAAATGGGGAAAAGTTTTCCCCTAACCAGGTTAAAATGCTGGACCGTCAATGGCTTAACCGTGGATATGTGATTGGGATGATGCACTGCTAGCAGTGTAATTGGGGTTTTTGGGTAGCACCATCTGGGATCCTTCACTTTTCCTTACTGACCTGAATTCTGCTAGCAAGCTAGGTTTTGTGCACATGTAATTCCAGCCTGAGAACATCCTTCTTTTCTGCAATATGCAGGAATATGGGAGTTCAGGGGGAGTGGGAGAGAACGAAAACTGACCCTAAGCAAAACTTATTTAAAAAAGATGGGATTTGCTGTGTGTCTGTCATCTCTTGAAAGTCCTAGTATGAAAGACAGGTAGTGGGGGAGTAAGATTTGGAAACGTTTGATCTGAAAACAGCCTGCTAAATTGGGAAGTGACAATCACAACTTGGGAAAACTCTGCATAAGAATAAGCCCTTGAAAAAGGCAGGTTTATGTAAAATGTGGAGTTTTTACCTTTAACAGATCCTTGCAGAGTCTTTATAAAGGTGTAAGATACTATTAACAGTACGTGCTTGTTTATAATTCTTACCCGTATGGATTTTCTGTTTTACAAGCATTAGGTCAAATTCAAGCCTAGTTCCATGGCTGGAGATGCTCACCGTGTTGGTTTGTCAGGGGAGCGATATGGTAATGTCTTCTGAATGCTTGTGAATGACTCGGTCGCATGCTTGGAAACCAGACCTAGCTGTTTATATAGTGTTTTTTAACAGCAGATTTCCAAGTGCTTCACAAAAGGAGGTGAATATCAGTTCCAGAGGTGGGCGAACCGAGGCGTAGGGAGCGGCTGTCATCCAGCAGGTAAATAGTGGAGGCAGGAGTAAAACCCAGGTTTTCTGAGACCCAGGTTGGTGCAACATAGAGGTCTTGCTTAGCCAATGGAGTGCTGTAGGGCTGAGGGTGTGAAATGCGCAGCTTTGTGGATTTAAATTAGGACAAGGCTTATAAAAGCACTGGGGCATGGTCCCTGTGCTGTGGCTGAGGACATGATTGAGCACATTGTGTGCACTCGGCGGAGATGAATTACTGTGGCTTGAATACGAACAGTGCAGTTGAGCTCGGCTCATCCCAGCACATAAGAATATGGTTTTAATCAATAGAAAACCCTGTCGGCAAACAGAAAGCTTCAGCCAAGGAAAATATTGAAAGATCTGTCTTCTCTTTGTGATGAAAGCCCCAGCCTGGCTTGTATGGCTCCTGAACCAGAAAATATTAGCTGTGGGTGTGTGTCCAGTTTTAGCCTAACCTCAAACCATTCACTTGGTGGGGTACAAATATAAAATAATAATAATTTGAGCATTTTTTTTTCTTCCAAACTCCTGAGAAATGATTTGGTTCTGTGTGGGAAGAGGAATGTCTCAAAGAGGAAGATGGCTGGGTCGTGCTGCTGTTAAATGTGCTGCTTGCTCTTTGTAAAATAGATAACCCTTCTCGCTCCCAGTGCTAAATTGCACCCAATTTTCTTCACAGCTGTGAGAAGGCTGCTTTCCAAGAAGGGGCTGGGATATGATGCTGGAGGGGGTGGCCTGGTAAGCATCAAGTGTTAAGTAATTAGACTTTGTGGAACCAGAGATTAATATTCTGGCAGGGTCACTTCAAGAATTTGTTCTTCCGCGTACCAGGACATCAGGGTACGTGTTACTTATCCTGCCTGGCTCTTTAGATTGAGACTTTTTTTTTCTTTCTCACTTTTCTTTAAGGCTGAGATGTGTAGGCACGGTGGGCTGAGTCTTAGATATGTAACTTAAGCAAACAGGTGTGAGGATCAGCTCTTTCCAAGGGTGTTGCAGACAGTGACTGTAAAGATTTGTAAAAGTCAGTTTGTAAGAGAGTCTGACTTTGCTCTGGTGACCTTCTCCCTCCCTGCCCTGCACGGTGTTGGGATTGGTTGTCAGCTTCCACCTCCAACCCCAGAGGAGGTTGCCTGTAGTGCTGGTGTTTGCATATAGCATGTGATGCACTTTGGAATCCTTAGGGATGAAAAGAGCTATAGAAATGTAAAATACAATGTAATGTGGGCACTCAACTAATTTTAAAAGATGAATGCTTACTCACTTTCACATGGGATCTATGCGAGTAAATTTGAGGCTTTAATTGTGCCTTATGTGTGTAGGTATATATGTATTTGTGTGCATATATGTGTATTTCTTGGTTAGAAAGATTGTATCGGCATTAGGGTGGGCCTTGATTCTCCATCAGCATCTCCAGAGGTGGAGCCTTAAGCTTGTACAGGTGCACAGGGTTTATCTGTAAGGATCCAGAATGGGGCCTAAGGCTGTAGGAATCTTAAAACCATGCCCACGAATATAACTTTTGACTTAAAAAAACCAAACCCAACAGCAATGCAACGAACAGCAATTAATATTGCACAAGACTGTTACAAGTCAGGTGGCTTTCCTATGTACGTTTTAAATGTTTTGTTGAAACCTTAGGTTTCAGGCTTTGAGGCAATTAAAACAAAATAAGGATCACACTTTGTGAGGAAGGCAGATATTTAACAACCCCATTGTAGTCTGTTTCTCTTAGCATCTCTTGCTGGTCAGTGACAGAGAGGATACCAGACTGTACAGACCTTGGCTCTGATTCAGTCTGGGGATGCCTTTGTTCCTAAATAAATACGAGGATGAAGCCTGCCATGAGAATCTAGTGTAGATGTACTTTATATAAGCCGCTCATTGTATTTCTGTGGCTTGTATCACTGGAATGCAGCAGCATCACATAACCCTAACTTTTTTTTAATGGCGTGGCTGAGAATTGCCCTGTGCCTAGGGAATGTAGCACTGGGCACAGGGCAGTTGCAGCGCTGCGAATCACTAATCCCTCAGACACCAAGACCCCAGTGCAAATGCACTGCGGTCCAAATTTCCCCTTGCACTGAATCCCCCAGGGCAGAGTTCATAGGAACGTCCGGCTGCAAGGGACCTCACGAGGTCATCTAGTTCAGCCCCCTGCTCCAGGCAGGATCTTCCCTCACTCAACCATCCCGGCCAAGTGTCTGTCTAACATGAAGACAAAGTTTGGGTAAACGTGGTATCGTTTGTTAGACCAACTAAATAGTTGTTAGGAGCTAGAACGGACCTTTACGGATCATCGGGGCCAGCCCCCTTGCACTGGGGCAGGGAAGGCTGCTGGGATCAGGTGGCCCCAGCAAGGTGGGCGTTGGAAAAATTGTTCTTTGAAGCCATGCTGGATTATGACATGCTGAGGCCTTTAAAATATACCCAGTTTAAGAGGCCCCATACGATAAAAATAATCCACGAAAATGGATTTCCATGACCTTTTAAGATGAATTGTTATTTCTGCACAAATTTATGAACTCAATATGAATAACTGTGGAGCCATATATATGTATATTTTTGTCCTATTAGAATGAAAACGTCCTTTTTTCTTTTTCTTATTTAGAGGCCCTAAACTGTAGCTTAAGTAGTTTAAATCGAAACCCGGCACTGCTTTGCAAGCTTTCAGGCACAGACACCCTTCTTCAGGCCTAGGGGGAGTGTGCCGGTGTCTTGCGTTCTCCTAACGTGCACGACCGTCCGTGTTGTTGAGTCGGATGTCATGCCTAAGACTACAGGCGTGGAGGTTGTAGCCGTGTCAGTCGAAGGACATGGGCGGACGAGGTTCTTTGGGTGAAGCCGATATCTTTTCATTAGACCAACTTAAATAGCTGCAAAACATTTTCTTAGCAAGCGTTCGGGTTGAAAAACCGTTCTGCAGTTGGCGTGCCACGGTGATGCTTCCTCAGCCTGGCAAATGGTTTTTAAACTCGAAAGCTTGCTAAGGAGAGTTTTTCCAACTATTTAAGTTGGTCTAATGAATAGATATCCCATTTATCCAAAGCACCATGTCTGCCTATGTCTACGACTAATAATTTGAGCTGGTCTAATCAAAGATATCCCATTTATTCAAAGCACCCTGTCTGCCTATGTCTAAGGTAGGGCGGTCGAGTCCAGTTGTCCTCTATCGATACAAAACCGGGCACCTTTATGTCCTCTGTTTTTCTCTCAAAGAGAAAAACGTGCTCTTTCTTCAAGAGAAAACCAGAGGACACGAAGGCACCGGGGTTCGTACGGACAGAGGACAACGGGAACATCCTCTATGACGGCCGTCCTATCTTGGACAGAGGCAGACAAGGTGCTTTGGCTAAATGGGATCTTTGATTTACACCAACTCAAATTATTAGTCGTAGACATGGGCACATATTTTTTTTCCTTTTATTTAAAGATGTCCAGTCTGGTACAGACAGAGGACAACGGTGCGCCCTCCACCACGGCCACCTCAGGTGTGACAGGGGCTCCCTCCCCTGCACCCCCAACGTGCTCCCCAATTGCAGAAAACAATATGGAAGGGGGGGGGGAAAGGCTGTGCGCGCGCATGCGCATCGGCGGGAGGAAGCGAGCCGTGTGGAAAAACAAGCCGCGCTCGCCGCGCGCATGTAGTCCCCCTGCCTCATGTGTCCGCATGCGCAGGGAGCAGTGGGAGCGGGCCTCGTTTCCCCCTCATGTGCGCATGCGCGGGGAGCACAAGCAGCATTGGGAGCGGGCTTCTCGTTCCCTCTGTGTGCGCATGATCGGGGAGCGGGCCTCGCTCTTGTCTCCCCCCCGTGAGCAGAGGCGAGGGGGGAGGGGAGGGGAGCCGCAGCCCGGAGCAGGGCCCGAGGCATGGTGCCCGCCGCCGCCGCGGGGGGAGGCAGCTCCTGGCGCTAGGGCACCGTCCGGGGCACGCAGCATGGTCCGGGAAACCAGGCACCTCTGGGTGGGCAACTTACCGGAGAATGTGCGCGAGGAGAAGATCATCGAGCACTTCAAGCGGTGAGTGAGGGCGGGGGGGCCCCGTCGCCGTCCCGCAGACCGGAGCGCACCTCTGCCCGCGGGCCCGGCCGTCCTCGCTGCGGATCGTCCCGCCTCTCTCGTGTCTCTCGTCCTTGTACCGAGCTCGGTGTTTATCTCGGCGCGTCCCGCACGGAAGGAGGTTGTGGTGGGGCTGGCTGTGGAGCAGAGAGAGGGGCAGAAAAAAAACCAGGCTGGAAGGAAACCGCTTGGTTTGGCATCCTCCGCCTTAAGAAACGCGCCATTTGGGACCTATCCTGCTGGACTCCGCGCTGGGGGAGAGACACAGCCGTGCTTTTAAAAATTTTTTTGCCTTTTTTAAAAAAAACAAAACACATCTGCCCTCCTCCGCACCTGTCTTCTGCATGGTTTTAGTTCCCCTGCCGTCTTCCTGATTATTTTATTTTTTTTTTTTAAATATTTTTTCCTTTTTAAATTATCCGAGGAGATGAAACCGGGTGAGAAATTCAATGCCGCTCTTTTTTTGTTTGTTTTGTTTAAAAAAAAAAAACACCATTTTTTTTATTTTTTGGGAACCGAGGCTGACAAACATTGGGAACGTGTCAGGAAGCACAAAATAAAAGTTCGAAGGGAGCGTTTTTAAACCGCCGGGATCACCTCTTGTGCTCGGACTCTGCCGGGGGGGGGTTTGAAAGCTTCCTTTTGAATCTTTCTGCCGTGCACGAAAATGACGGAGTGTCCTTAATAATGAGTCATTATGGGAAAAAAAAAAATTAGACTCAGTTACTAAGACATGAGGACCTTGGACTAGGAAATGGAAGAAGGAGCAGTAGAGCTGCCTTGTGGCTTTTATAAATGGAGGATCATTGATTATTTTGGTGGTTGCTTGCTCTAAAGAGATTCAATCTTCATCTTGGAAAGGAGCCTGCCTGCTTATGTTTAGGGGGTTGCGAATAGGAAGCTCATTTGCACCCGTCTAAGCTAGGCAGAGTGGGGTGA